TAAGTTTCATTATTATATATTTATATATATACTTAAATATTAATATTCATTTATCTATTTATATCGACGATGCCGCCGTATATGCCACACATATAGCGTTTCCCCCGCGCACGGCCCACCCACAAAATACAGCTATACCTCGTGTATGATACATTTCCGTACTTAAGTTTCATTATTATATATTTATATATATACTTAAATATTAATATTCATTTATCTATTTCTATCCACGATGCCGCCGTATATGTCACACATATAGCGTTTCCACCGCGCTCCGCCCGCCCAAAAAATATTCATTCATATATTCCTACCGTCGGTGCTGTCGTATATGCCTTACGTATAGCGTTACCCCCGCGCTCCGCCCGCCCATAAAAACCATAATATTTAAAATTAAGTCAAGTTTCATCTACATTAATTAATTGAAGAGTTTTAAACACACAAAACAAAAACACACTTACACATTTATTCACAACATAGATCACTGGTTTTGTGCAGGCGAACCCTCCCACCTCCAGTGACTCTATTTACACGGCATTACACAAAACAGTCTGATCAGTATTAAGTGTTTATAACCGGTTCAGGTACGCTCTATAATATTTAGTGCCCCTGTGCTTAACAATATTTTAACCAAAAACATACATACCGAGCTATTTATGTGAAAAAAGTATAGTTAAAAAAAACTAAAAAACACGCTTTCATAACATATGAAACTAAAAAGTAAAAAATAAATATAGTTTAAAAAAACTAAAAAAACACGCTTCTAAAGCGCATCGACTAAAAAGTTAAAAATAAGCTTAAAACAATAATAAACGAAAAATACTAGTATTATTGTGAAAAAAGCGTGGGTGCTTTGTGCCATATTTTTCGTATATTGAGCGCCCGACGCTTTTATCACAATAATAATAGTATTTTTCGTTCATTATTGTTTTAAGGTTATTTTATTTCACAATAATACTAGTATTTTTTGTTAATTATTTTTTTAAGATTATTTTATCATACAATAATACTAGTATTTTTCGTTTATTATTGTTTTAAGCTTATTTTATATCACAATAATACTATTATTATTCGTTCATTATTGTTTTAAGGTTATTTTATTTCACAATAATACTAGTATTTTTTGTTAATTATAGTTTTAAGATTATTTTAAAAATTATTTTTAACTTTTTAGTCGATGTGCTTTAGAAGCGTGTTTTTTTAGTTTTTTTAAACTATATTTATTTTTTACTTTTTAGTTTCATATGTTATGAAAGCGTGTTTTTTAGTTTTTTTTAACTATACTTTNTATTTATTTACAATAATGCACAGATAAAAATTCATTTTAAAAATTATTTTATACGTTATGATATTCTTTAACTATTGCAATACGTTTTATTTATTTATTTATGCTAAAGTTATAACTATACTACAATAATATTTCGTTTTTTGCAAAAATTATACAAGTACGATATCGAGCAAATACATATTTTCATTTAAATTATATTTGAACATAGTGTCATTGTTTGATTAATATATTCAAATATACCTCCTTTAAAAACCGAAAAACAGTGAAAATTTGTTAAATCCAAGAAAACAATCTTATTATTAAAGTAAACTTGCCACCGTACACTATTAATAAAATTTGATAAACATTTTAGTAATAAATAAGACGATTGATAGAATATTAAATTTATATTTTTATATTATTTTGCAATTTTTAAAACGAATGGTAAAATTAACTTGGAATAATCTATGAATAATTTTTATAAATGTTAACTCATTAATCATGTCAATTAAATTTGACTAATACAAGTATTATTTTAAATGTTACACATTAAATATATATATATATATATATATATTAATTTTATAATTAAAATAATTTATCACATTTATCTGATATTATTGGAATTATATTATCAGTATTTGACTTTCATTACTGTTGTAATTATAATCTCCATTAAAAATGAGTTTCTATTATTGTTCTGGAATATTCCTTTGTTTTATGTATGTGATAGCCTTACCAATATTTTCAACTGGAATGCCCTGTTCTGGCAAAGAAACTACTAACAATTATTCAAATCAAGTATTTATAATTATTATTATTATTTTATCTTTAAATTTCATAGTATTTTTTAGTGGCTTAGATACTTTCCTTTACACACATATGTATATAAAAGAAGGTCAATTATTATTACTCAATAAACTCTTATAACTTTTAGATAATTATCATATATATATTTAAATAATTTATGTATTGAATTATTATGTTAAAACAATAACAACGAAACCCAGCACAGTGGTGACGTGGCATAGTTGGGTCAAGTATAATGATATCTCACAGTGATTAAAATCACTACCATAAAAAAAGCTTCGATAGTGTTTAATTTTAAAAAATTGGTGGATTATTCCAAAAGCTACATTATCTCCTATTTTCTTATTTATATCCTGATTAAGACAAAGTATATGGAATGAAAGAGGGATATAAATATTATTTCTCATAAAAAAATTGTATTGATCCTTACACTACTCAATAAGTTATAGCATTATTAAGTTAAAAATGTAAAATAGAAAATAGAAAATGTTTACACAAAAATAACTATTATCTAATAAAAATTGATCACTTGTGGCTAGTTAATTAAGTAAAATTAAAACTATATTAAAAATATTATTAATTTAAAAAAACTAAAAAATATTAAAAATATTAAACTCAAAAGCCACAAAAAAATTAATGAAAAGTCGCGGATACGTATTTCGGAAACAATGTTACCATTATCAACGCTAAACACATACTGACACCCCGACTAGAAAAAACTCCCTTATATACCCCTAGTGACCTTATCACCTAGTGACGTTATCACTAAGTAATATTATCACATTTTGCCAGTTTACACAAGTTTAATAATGAATTTTTCAGTGGGCCAAGATCCCAATTAATTAAATTGTTTTTATTTTTAAACATTTCTATTGCTTCTCTGATATTAAGTTCTTTGTAATTATTTACGTTTTTAATTAGTTTTATGGTTTTAATAGAGTGATTATGTGTCAATAAATGTTCGGCCACTGGAGATTTCTCAATTTCTTGATTTTTAATATTTCTTAAGTGCTCTTTAAACCTGACCCCTATATTTCTTTTTGTTTGTCCTACGTAACATTTATTACAACTTTCACATTGTATTTTATAAATGCCTGATTTCCCCCCTTCATCTACCTTATCTTTAGGGTTACCTAATAAATCTCTTAAATTATTACTCTTAGATGTTACCAAAGTAATACCAAAATTCTTAAATATTTTAGTTAATCCATTTGAGATGCCCGGATAAAATAAAATTGGTGATCTAATTACTTTTTGTTCCCCCTCGCTGGAGAGTGTACTAGCTGCCCTCCTTTCTTTTTTCCACTTTTGTTTTCGGACTAATTTCAAAATTATGTTTTCGTTATACCCATTAAATTTAGCTATTTCTTTTATAACCACCAATTCTTTATCATAATCTATTTTATTCATCGGAATATTAATTAATCTGTAAACCATACTATTAAAAGCTGACAATTTGTGTTGCCAGGTGTGGTTCGATGTGTTCGGAATGTATCTGAACGTGTGTGTGTTTTTCCGATAAATTTCAAAATTTAGTTCCCCCTCTGTTCTTTTAACTAATAAATCCAAAAAAGGCAATTTTCCCTCTATTTCTTGTTCATATGTAAATTTAATCGATGGGTAAAAAGAATTTAAATGTTGTATGAAAACCCCCATATTAAAATCTTTATTTATAACTGCAAAAATATCATCGACATACCTAACCCAAATTTTTGGAAAATCACCATAAGTGTATTTTAAATTTGTTTCAAACCTACTCATAAAAAGTTCTGCTAAAAATGGTGATAGTGGATTTCCCATTGCTGTGCCCACAGTTTGCTCATAAAATTTATTTTGAAACTGAAAAACATTTTGACTCATACATAACTTTGTTAAATTAATAAGCTCATTTATTTTATCCTGACTATTATCTTATTATCTTATTATCTATTATCTTAACTATTATCACCATGAAGACAATATAAAAACCGAATATTTTTTTTTCCATGATAAAGTATATTACATTAGCTTTAATTTAAGATATATATAAAAGTGTCAGACTTTCAGGAACATTTTCAAAGGTTAAGTTGAAAAAGTTAATTTTTTGTGAAAAAGTTGTCATTTAAAACCCCCCCAGTGGACAAGTTAAATGACAGATTTACAAAAAAAAATATACCAAAAGATAGGTAAAAACATTATGCATCGATAAAAAAAATTATATTGATTTGTTTATTTTTGAAAAGTTATGGCAGTTTTAAGTAAAAAAAATTGAAAAAATTTTGAAAATTATCGATTTTTAAATTTGTAACTTTTTTGGAGATTTCCCCCATTTACGGGAAACGAGGGAAATTTTTTCAATTTTTGAGGGTAATGTTTTCGACTAAATACGATTTGTGATTTTTTGACGTATTGTTGATAATAATCAGTCCAGTGAGAGCTGAGAAAAAATAGTAACAGACACAAAAAAAAAAAAACAACATAGTAAAACCAATACCTTCTTAACTTCGCATTATAACTAAAATTAATCAAAAAAATAATTTTTGAATTATAAGCAATTTAATACTTTTAGTGGATATGTTGCGCGGGGGGTCCAGTTTGTATTGGTATATTTACAATGGATACTCTAACCACATTATACATTATGTATAATTCCTCTTTATATATCAAAATACTTGTAACTCAATCATTAATCCTTTTGAAGTTATAATATTCATTACAACTAAGTATCATTATTATTTTATAAAATTAAGATTATTATTTAGTGGTTTAGGTACTTTCCTCTGTACACATATGTGTATAAAAGAAGGTAAATGATTAATATATAATAATAATTGGTAATTTGTTATAAAACATGATATATTAGGAACAGTTAATTACTTTTTGTATATTTCTTAGAATGTAAAATTATTAAATACTGAGATTTTTCAACATACATACTTTTTACAAGTTCATATAAACCTTGTGAAAAATACATCAGTAAAATCTCAATTACAATTTTCTTTCAGTATACAATTTTATATAGTTAAATATGTTTGATATACAATGGATTTTTACAGTTTCAAATATCTATAAATGTTTTAATGTTATCATATTGACAATTAAAATAAATGTTTTGTAGAATGGTGGACCAGCAAAAGATTCAGAAACTGATATAACCGATTCTTCAGATGAGGTGAGGTATTCAGATATAATAAAGAAAAATTGTTTAGATTTAATTTCTACACTGGAATTATTTAACTTACACATTGTGTAAAAATTAATTGAAAAGTTAAATTTTTATGATTCATTTAAAAAAATCTCATGATGATATGGATTTAAGGTGTAAGAAATAAGGGATAGATAGATTTAAAAATAGAAAAGCATAAAATAACTAAGAATATAAATAATATTAACTATCAATTTTTAAAGTAGTCATATTAACAACTAAAATGTTTTGCAGAATGATGAAGTACCAGATAATTTATTAAAAGAACTTCTAAATCCTTCAAATGAGGTGAGATGTTACATATATTATAAAGAAATAGTTTTTAATTTAATTATTTAATATACAATTTTGTACAATAGAGTACATATACTGTAAGTTTTTATTATAGAAAATCTTCTGATTAAGAAAATCGCTGATGGTAACAACTTTAAAACCAGTATTTTTGTAAATATTAACATTTAAAAATTATTGTTGGAGATAATGTGTGAGTTTTTATATTTTTATGAGTAGTAATTATTACCTTTTCTAAAATAGTGCTAAAAAGTTGTTATTGATCAGTCATTTTTTTAGTTATGTCATTTCTGATATTAAAAATAATTAAATAATTAAATTATTTTTATTAAAAGTTTCAATTTAAAATACTCAAGTTGATATGGACTTAAGAAATAAAGATGTTGTATAATTATTTGTGATTCGTTAATTGTAATAGAAATGTTTATATCAGGCGTAATTTATGAATTGTAAGGGACTGGTTTGATACATGAGTTAATAAATGGTTGTTTTGAATACCCTAAAAGGCAAAAATTCATTAGATGATTTTTGCTTTATTCATATACAGAGTGGAACGGATCTAACTGACAACTCATATAACTTATGATTTACATAACATTTTATACTTTTTTTTTTTTTAATAAATTTTTTCAATATAGAACTATATTTAAAATATGTTTCATGTTATTTTTCACAATTACAAAAAATATTTTATAGACAAGTTTTAAAGAAAAATTTTGATACCAAAAACTCTTATTTTAATTCAGTAGTTACGTTTATACAGCATTTTGAAATTTTGATTTTTTATGCAATTTTCCTATTGTATCAAATGTCAGTCCATATTATGTAAAGTACAGAAATAAACACTTATTACATTATTTACTGGTAACAGTACGCGATTTTTTTTACATGAAAATTATTAACATTTGAATAAGCATTTGTAATTGACATGAAAAAACAATTAGTAGTATAATTCAGATTATTAAAAAAAATTATAGAAACATTGTCTAAAATATGTTGAATTTTTAATTAAATAATGTCATATATCATAAATTGAAACGTGAATAATAGTAAGTAAGTGCATTTATTATCAAATAAAAAAAGGAAAATACATTTAACTATAAAATTACAAACATATCATAAATTAATTTTTAACTTTTATAAATATTTATTAATTAATTTTATTAATAGTTTGAGACCCATAAATAATTTGACATTGAATTTTTATAGGAAATGTATCCCATAGCGTTTTATAGCTCACAAGCAGTGTTCAATGGATATAAGGAATATGCTAATAATAAGGGTCAAATTAGTGCTTTAAAAGTGTTAGAAATTGCAAACGAAAGAAATGCTACTGATAATGGAAGTAGCACTGAGATTAACGATTTAGATGGTAATTGATTTTTAATTATTTTTATTAAATTTTTATATAGAGTGAAACAGATCTAACAGAGAACTCTTTTAAATATATATTCAATTATCATTTTACTGTTGCTTTGTGTCACATCTCGGGGCTGTTTCATATATATACTCAAATTCAGTATTTCTACAAACTGTTCTTTAAAAAAAAAACAATTCAAAAAAATATAATTATCGAACATTATAATAATGTATGCATTGAAATGTATAAAATAATATAAAACAACATTACACAATATTTTCAATTTATGCATTCTTAGACTAAGTCAATATCATATTTTTATCATTTTGTTTTCATAATTGCAAAATAGCCATTTTCTAGCAATTAAAAATTTTAGGACGAGTAGATACAAGTATTTTTAACACATAGGTTGGAAGTATGTAACACCAACTCTCATTTTACGCATTAAAATGCTCAACAAATATAATTTTTTTTAAAGTCATTTGAATACATAGAGTGAAGATATTTAATGCGATAATTTCTACCGCATATTTATGTCTATTCCAGACATTAATATATATCAGAATCAGCTGTATCCACACTAAAAACTTGCATACCTATGTATGTATATTATAAATATAATTATAACACCATCCGACCTGCTATTGACTCAGGCAACAGCGATCGCCGCTATATTCAACTAATGACGTCAAAATTAATATTACCAACACCATGAGATTCGTTGATTACAAAAACACACACAATCTAATTGATGGCCTTAAACCAAAAAATTAACTTTGTGAATTACACACTATTTATTTACTGAACAATAAGCAACCCATTGGCCGTTCACATCTAAGATAACCGGAGTGAGTGATATTGAGGTATTGATGGTATATATTCAATATTGTTTATATGCTAAATATGCATATATATGTTACAAAATACTAAAATAGACAATTTCGCAAAAATATAGAAAGTAAATTTATATCTATAAAGTAAGGTAATTGTGATACGAATTTGTATTAAACTAGAATATCAGTATGCATTTTTCGAACATGTATGAAATTGTCTAAAACTCCGAGCCTTGCTACTAATAATTAACCAGTCGATATTTGTCGTTACATTTTTTTTTTATAATGTTATACGTTAAGACTTAAAATGTTATAATAAACTATATATATTTTTTTGATTTATTGAATGTGTTAGCCAACGGGCTCCTATAATAACGGTTGGCCCGTATAACTGATATGGTAATAATCAACACAGAAAAAAGAAATGAATTAAACAAATGTATACCCAAATATAATAAAAGAGATTGATATTCGTACAATTCCTATTTGCATATATTATAAAAATAAAAATATGGTATTTTGTTCCGTTTTATAATAAATATAACTAATAAACATCAACAAATATAATGGGCGTCCCCAAGTACAAATGTAGCTACACCTAATAGACTTAACTATAAATAAATTTACATACAATATTATAACAGGATTTAACTCGTTCTATTTACTGATTTGAATGTCTTCCATGTGGTAGCTTCAACTTTGACAATAACAGTCTAACAATAACGGAATAAACCGGTGTTCAAGCTTTCACCAATAACTCCAAACTTAATAAGACCACAACTCTTAAACAAGTCTTTCACGGCTATATACAATAGGCCGGATAACAACAATATGGTAACAAAGAACAAAAAAAACACGCGTACGTCGATTACGTAAACGGGTGTTATAATACCATATAGCGCACAGACACATTAACAAATGTCCACCGTAACTAATCAGCCGACAGACTGATTGAACGTGAAACATATTTGGCTCGGTATTGTCAAAGGCTGCCGTATACTTTCACGGTCAAATATTATCACCACTACCTCCGTGTTCAACCGGTACAAGTTATCAATGCCGACTGATACAGAGAAGATAACATGTGCTGTTTTGAACATGCTCCCCCTTGGGAGATCCAAATCTTCCAAATGTTGAATGATGATGAATAGAAGTTGACGACCAAAATCTTGCTGTACATATTACATAATACACATAAATCACCAAACTATACAATATTAGAAGAAAAACAACAAAAGCCAAAAAAAAAAACATAATAAACATGGTATACAAAAAAAATAATAACAATACTAATAGTAAACATCAACCTCCAAAAAGTTTTTTTTATTTTAAAGACTAGAAATGAGTATATATATATATTTTTTTCGATCTTTGAACATAACATTGAAGATCCCCCCATTAGCACTTAACCTTCCATTAAAATCAATCATTGGGACAACTCGTTATATTATAGGATTTAGTTCATTGATTGTGAGTGAACTAAGCACAAATATCTTGTTAATAACTTATAATAAGATATTAATGAATAAATAAACAGGTAACTACAATAACAAAGAATAATTTTTCATGAAATAATTATTTAAAAATTCATATTATATATTTTAAACACTAAAAGAAAACTAAACTTCAGTTGGTAACTTAACTAACTTAACTATTGGCCGCGTGAGCTCTCCATGTGTGATTCTCACACGGGCAACACGTACTACCCCATCAGATCCTGGGAACGTTTGTATAATTCTCGCCATAGGCCATCTCATGGGAGGGTTTTGAGAATCCTTAATCACCACCAAATCGTTTACCATCAAATTTGGTGCCTCCTTTGTCCATTTTGTCCGAGTTTGCAAGGTTTGAAAATACTCAAGATGCCAACGGCGCCAAAACGACTGAACACATTGATTGAGGATCTTCCATCGGTTAATAATTTTCCGTGAAGTAACTGGTATCGTCTCTTCGGGAACAGCCAACAATGGCTGCCCAATCAGGAAATGTCCGGGAGTTAGACAATCCAGCTCTGATGGATCAGAAGAGGAAGGCGTCAATGGTCGAGAATTTAAAATTCCCTCGATGCGACACAACATACGAGGTGTGTTCAAAAAGTAAGGTGACTTTTCAAATTTCGCGGGCTACGTCCGTTCGATCTTAGATTTTTTTTTATGTCATGTTGGTACACTCGTACCGAACATCTGTACACAGTTTCAAGTATATAGCATATTTAGTTTGTTTTTGACAGATACAAAGATTAGACGTATTTTGGTGTGCTCGGCGATTTTCTGCTATCAAAAAAAAAAATGGATCAAAGAATTTGCATCAAATTTTGTGTCAAAAATGGAATTAAGTGTTCTAATAGACTTGAAATGTTGACAGTAACATACGGTGAGTCCGCTCTGAGTAAAAATAACGTTTATAAGTGGTACAAGCTTTTCCAAGATGGCCGAGAAGATGCCAAAGACGAACCTCGCTCTGGACGTCCCAGCACGTCAACAACAGATGAAAATGTTGAAGCAGTGAAGAAAATTGTTTTGGAAAATCGACGAATCACTATCAGAGAAGTTACTGAGGATGTTGGCATATCGGTTGGCTCGTGCCATGAAGTTTTTTCGGATATTTTGGGCATAAGACGTGTGTCAGCGAAGATTGTTCCGAAACTGCTTAATTTTGACCAGAAGAATCGTCGCATGAGCATCGCTCTGGAGCTGTTGAATGACGTCAATGATGATCCTGATTTGCTCAAAAGGGTCATAACTGGTGACGAATCATGGGTATATGGTTATGACATCGAAACCAAAGTTCAGTCGTCCCAATGGAAGAGCTCAGGAGAGCCAAGACCGAAAAAAGCACGCCAAGTTCGATCAAATGTCAAGGTTTTGCTCACCGTTTTCTTCGATTGTCGTGGCGTAGTGCATCAGGAGTTCTTACCACAAGGTCGTACGGTCAATAAGGAGTATTATCTTGAAGTTATGCGTCATTTGCGAGAAGCAATACGAAGAAATCGTCCGGAATTATGGAAAAACAATTCATGGCTTTTGCATCATGATAATGCACCTGCTCACTCATAGTTCCTTGTGAGAGATTTTTTGGCCAAAAACAACACCACAATCATGCCTCAGCCACCATATTCACCGGATTTAGCCCCATGCGACTTTTTTCTGTTCCCAAAACTGAAAAACCCTATGAAAGGACGAAGATTTGCAACGATTGGGGAGATAAAAACTGCATCGCTGAAAGAGCTCAAGGCTATACCAAAAAGTGCTTATCAGAAGTGTTTCGAAGATTGGAAAAAGCGTTAGCACAAGTGTATTACATCTGAGGGGGATTACTTTGAAGGGGACAACATAAACATTGATGAATAAATAAATAGTTTTTCATAAAAATATCAAGTCACCTTACTTTTTGAACACACCTCGTATTTGAAAATTCTTCTAGAGTGAAGTTTTGCTCCCCCATGATATGAACCATCAACATCTTTGCAGAACGTACTGCTGCCTCCCATAATCCTACAAAATGTGGTGCGCTAGGAAGATTAAAGTGCCAATGACTATGAGCACCAGCACTAATGATGTCTCTATTTTCTGGTCTATTTATTATCTCATAAAGTTGTCTTTGCGCACCAATAAAATTCGTGCCACAGTCGGTATATATGTCATCCGGTAAGCCTCGACGGGCAACGAACCTACTTAATGCCGCTAAAAAAGCATCTGTAGACAATTCTGAGACGAATTCTAAATGTATTGCTTTAACCGTAAAACATACGAATACTGCGATATACACTTTGTATTGACGCGATTTACGTAATCGTTGTTCACGCATAAGAAATGGGCCGGCGAAATCAATTCCAACCCGAGAGAATGGCCGACATTCTGATACTCGAGATCGTGGCAAGTCCGACATCAATGGCTGTGAATTTATTCCAGATAACCGTACACACTTAGTACACTTACTAACTACATGGCGAATGAGAGATCGTATAGAAGGAATCCAAAATTTACGACCAATTATTGATGTTAATACACGTGGACCACTGTGTCCAGTAAGCTCATGCCAGTGTCGTACAAATAATAAAGCCATATGTGAAGACTTTGGCACCAATATGGGATGCTTTTGATTTTCTGACAAATCAGAATGCACCAATCTACCACCGACCCGAATCAAACCAGCAGTGTCTATGAAGGGTCTTAAGCA